TGAATCGTAAAATGGAACGCGTTCTAACACTACGATCACCAATCAAATTAACACACCTCGGAATTATTTTGCGACAACGTTCTTCCGAAAGATCGAATTAACACGATGTAATAAAATAGGTCAAGGGGTTAACACGTTGACTGCCACGGTGGTCACCGACGACCGGAGTATCGAAATTGCTGAGGAACAGTTACAATAAGAAACTTGATTTTAAATAAGAATATTTATTAACATAAGTAGCTAGGTCATAGCATAATACGGCTACCGTGATACTAAACCACCAATAATTATTTTCTTTATTGAATTTTTTAAACATTATTTAGCAACAGTTTCAGTTGATCTTGATTCGTGCAATTGCAACGCATTGCAATACTCTAGTTTCGAAGTTACAATTTCCGCGATTTATATATATGAACAAGTAATTTTCAACAATAAAATAAAACACAGAACAAACGTCCGTAAATCTAGCGTTAAAGAAGCAGTACTATTCAAAACGAAATTCTCGTGGCAGTCGACGTTAATCTGATTTCATCCTTATTCGCACAGACGCAAGTCTAAATCCCGTTCCAATTTTGACGAAAACCTGGAAATCAGCGATCGCTTTAGCGTTAATTTCCTTCAATTCAGATCTGCGTTTCGCGTTCTGTTCCATCACAGCTCTCCATCGCGTTAAAATGTCACATTTCCGTTTAAAGAGCTCGTTTCAATATTAACGAGCCGTCATTACGCTCAAGATTCCCGATGACCGTCGGATCGCTTTTAACAGAATCGCCAGCGGGACGGCGCGCAATAACAGAGGCTTGGTATCGAGTGACTCCCGATTTCGGATAAAAGTAACAGAAGCGCGGTGTGTCCATTTATTTAAAAGCAAATTAATGTCACGGCTGCCGATAAAATCTGTCCGTGGCCGGCGAATTTTCCGAAGTGGCTGATTGCAGCATCCGTCGTGTTGCACCGGTGCATTGTTCGGGGGCTCCTCTGCGGCCGAATCGATCGTCCGCTTCGAATTTCACGCGGATCACACCGCGTTTTTACACGTATCGGCTGTTTCCCGCTCGCCCCCGCTCCCTTCCTCCTGCCTATTAACACGCGAAGATAATTCGTTGCCCCTTTTTCCTCTGATAATTGCGAGCGCGCATCGAATAATCATTATACGGTGCGATCTGCTTATCAACAATTTACATTAAAATCACGAATTTACTTCCGCTCGACGGCGCCGCGTCGATCTGCTCGCACGATAAAAAGGGAAATACGCCGCGGAACGAGAATCGACGTGAAAACGGAAATATTAATGCGGAAGCGGAATGAAACGTTATTTGGTTTTTAGATGAGAATTGAGGAGGATTTTATGTATGCGTCAGAATGATTAGGAAAGTTTTTCTTTCCTTCCTTTTTGGGAATTTTCGTTATTGCTTATATTATAATGTAATAATAATATATTAACCCATAAGTTTCTCATTGGAAATATTCAGTATTTTAATATGAGGCGTTGATGACATCCTTTCAAACTGACTTAATGAGAAATCACACGTAAATTGAGGAACGAAACTGTATTAAAATATTATTATAATATATTAATAATAGTAATTAATATATAAAAATAGTAATATATTAACTGTTTGCAGCCGATAAGTTTTTCATTGGAAATATTCAATATTTTCTAATGAGACGTTAATGACATCCTTTCAAACTGACTTAACGAGAAATCGCACGTAAATTGAGGAACGAAACTGTATTAAAATATTATTATAATGTATTAATAATAGTAATTAGTATATTTTAATAATAATAACAATAATAATAATATATTAACTCTTTGCAGTCGATGAATTTTTAATTGAAAATCAATATCTTCTAATGAGATACCAATGATATTCTTTAAAATTCACTTAATGAGAAATCGCACGTAAATTGAGGAACGAAACTATATCATATTATTATAATATATTAATCATAGTAATTAATATATAATAATAATAATAATAATAATATATTAACTCTTTCCAGTCGATAAATTTTTAATTGGAAATATTCAATATTTTCTAATGAGACGTTAATGACATCCTTTCAAACTGACTTAGCGAGAAATCGCACTTAAATTGAGGAACGACCCTATTCTCTTTCAATATTTCACACATTGATGCATCGTATAAAGTTTAATATCATATATCAAACTTCATAATCTTGCCGTGTTAAATCAATTGGCGACTGAGAGGCGTCCACGGAGTGCAAAGGTTTATTTTCCAGATGTCAGCGATCGGTACAATTAAACCGCTGGTCTGTGTGTACGATTTATAAAAATATTGAAAAACAGAAAGGCAGGAGGTTTAATGGAATTCAATGGAATTTTCGAGCAGTTTCCGGGTGAAACGATTATTCTGGAGGACGGGATTCTTTTAAATTGTCGTTTGTCGAAATCTATAAAAATAGACGTTAGCATAGAGGTTCATTTGTGCGAGCGAGAATATACGGGCTGCCAATATGGAATCGGTACGAATTTACTTCCAATAATATCATCGTCCACGGTGTTCGTTTACCGTTACGTGATTGATTGCCAAGATTAAAGTCCTTTGATCAAAATTTTTTAACCTATCCATCCACCGTCCACGCGCATCGAATTTCCGAATGAAAAACGTCCTGTTAACATCGAAATACGAGACCATTATATCCTATAGAACAATTTTTCTTTTCGTAGCTGACGAAAATAACCGATCAATCTTCGCGCCTGATAGATACTATTCGATAGAATATAATCGTTTCACGTTTCAAGAATCACATTGTACAAACGCTCTTAACACTCCAGATGGTTTTGTAATCTATCAGCAACTGCAATTAATTTTTGTAGTATTCCTAGCGAAATTGAGAAATGCTATAACATTTTTTTCATCTTTTATTTTCCTTCTTAGTACAGAATTTGGATGTGCGAAAAATCTAATAATTATAGGGTAGTTTCTTTAAGATTCATTGAAATATCTATTATTCCTGGTGCAATATTGGAGACAGAGTTCAAAGGGTTAACGCGTGAGATTCTTGGTGAAGGTTTTAAACAGAACTTAACGAATATAAATATTAGCCAATTATTGTGAATACAAATGAAATATCCTTTTGTTATCAATTATTATAACTAAAAGCAAACATCGGCATAGAATATACCTAAGATTTGTCTCTCTTTTCGATGAATTATTAATGGCAAAGTAGTTGCGTCGATCATAGTTGAAAAATAAATCGTAGGGCAAGGGGTTAAATGATTAACACGTTCCATTCAAGCCATTGGGTATTGCCATTGTAAAATGAAGAATTTATTAAAAATTTATTATGCAGTCAATTATGCATCTTAATACTATTGTAGTCATTCTTTTTTACTGCCATTTGTTTTAACGTAAAAGTTGCAACACTCTGTAATAGTTGTCTGGATAAACCACATTTATGTTTGCCATGTTTTAACAAAGTTCACCGTAGCATCCCTTCCTGATTATGTACAACCTCGTCACATAAATATAATATTAAATACATTTCAACTAAAATGTTTTACTTTAAACTAATATAGATATCATAAAAAAATTGTTAACCCTTTGCGGACGAATCAAACTCTCATATTTGTGATACTAAGTTTCAAACAAATGATTTAACTACTGAAACAGCAAAAGATCAGTAAATTGTTTCCTAATCTAAGCTTTCGATGCGCAATTCGGCAGGATCTGCCTTAAGTTTCGTATATTTTAAATAACCTTTGTCCGCAAAGGGTTAAACCAATTCCTAGAAAAATAAATTTCATGCTTCGTCGCGTTATGCATCCTAAACTATACACCCTTTCCCCGATAGTTATGATTTTTGCATTATTTTAACCATCGTAAGGTATACTCCGGAAACAGAACAATACAATTGTAAAGCGGTCGGGCGCGGAACGTGTTAAATTCGATTTAAACGCATTTGTTTCGGCGTTCCTTTCGGAGAGCTCCAGGTATTTACACGTCACAGAGGGGACGTGTATGGTTTTAGACAGTTTCACTCATTCCTCCGTTCGCTTTCGAGTCGGCGAGCGTCGACGCGTCCGCTTTGAAATTCATCGAGACGCGTTTTAGTTTTATTTCCGTTGCGGCATTTATTTTAATTCGTTCCCCTAACAAATATTTGGACCGGCCTCTGTTTAACGAGCTGTCGATGCTGCCGGATCGCGTTCCGCGGCGCTTTTACTTTTGACGCGTTCGTTCCGGTTCGTTGAAGATACGCGGAGTGTCCTCGTAAACGGAAGTGTCCTTTAACAACGGCTTTTTCGCAGACCATTTTCGTACTCCTCGCGCGTCGCGATATTTAACAGGCTGTCGGTGAGCAAGTAAATTGCACGGAGTTTATTTGTTTAATCTAATCCACTGCGTTAATCTGAGAATTTCGCTCTACTTTTTGGTCTTTATATTCTTCGAACTTTAGATATTATTACCCTTTGAACTCCGAGGGTTTTCTACTAAAAATACACTTTCTGACGAAACGTAGTGAATACTTGAAACTTAACGAGAAGTATGTAAATGTAATAAATTACATTTTATATTATTATATATAATATGTACATTACAGTAATAAATTAAATGTTATTAATAATAGATAATTAACGGTAATTAAATTAAACAGAGACACTGTTTTATTTGAATACACATATTAATGCATCATACGAAACTTGACATTAAATATTATACCACTATGGAGTGCAAAGGGTTAATTATAGTACAGCAGGTTTTTAAAATTCTGAGATTATATAATAAAATTCCTAGATGGTTTTTGATTAACAGTGCCAATTAGAATTCTCATTACTGAATCAAACTCCTGAATTTTTCTTTGGAATTTTCATAGTATATTTCTAAGAATAATTATCAGTTGAATAAATGTATCTGAATATTCTATAGAAAAGTGTTTCTATTATCTTCTATTATCTATTCTATTATCTATTATCTATTAGAATAAGTTTCTCGCAGATTCTATTTTCGGGAACAACGTTAAACGCTCACCTTTATGCCGTAATTGCTTTCCTCGTAGATGATTGATACATAACTCCAGCCCATTGTCAGCACAATGTCTACCATCGCTTTCACTTGGTAGTGATCGCTGGGTATAGTGCGCGAGAAGTACTCGAACCGTTGCTTGTTCGACAGCTCCGGGCTCGTCGAGAAGAAGGAAACCTGAAACCAATGAAAACGCCTCTGGTAAGTCTATCGAATCATTAATTTAACACTAGAACTACCGTGCCAGTCAAAATTACTATTTTCGATTGTTTCGTTTCACAATTATTGATACCTTAACCCTTTGCGGACGAAGATTCTCTGAAATATACAAAACCCTCAACAGATGAAGCTAAATTATATAACAATTACTTGAACAATAGAAAAATAGGAAACTACGTGCTAATCTCTTGCGATTCCATTAATTAAATCATTTGTTTACGACTTAGACTTCCAAATATGGAAATTTCATCTGAAATGTCGACGTTCGTCCGCAAAGGGTTAAAAGCATTGAATATTCGAAATGATCTTGAAAATAAATAATGAATGTCTATGAATGTGAATGAAAAATATAAAAAGTGTCGGATTTTATACTTTCAACCTCTTGCACTGGGAAAACGTATCAAGCACATCGAGATATTCTTGTTCTAAAATTATTAATTAATAAAATTCTTTGTCTACGACTTTATCAAATTTGTAAATTAAATTCCAACGCCAGAGGTTAACACTTACAATCACAGAAATATTTTATGAAAATGATCCACATCAAACTGATACTAATAACATTAAAAACACATTTTTCAGTTCACCTCATCGATATACCAGAATAAACAACAAAAATCTTTGAAAAATAAATATAAGGATATCCTAAATATCCAGAAAAATATATTTTCAACTTTCCCTACACTCGGAGGAGTCCTAGATTAAATCATAATTCGCAGAATTCATTAAAAAGGTTGTTCTACACCTTGCCAAAAGATAAATTGGCAATTTTACAATCACAGAAATATATTAGAAAAATGATCTGCATCAAACTAATACTAATAACATTAAAAACGCATTTTTCAGTTCACAAAAAAAACAAAAAAGGACAACAAAAATCTTTGAAAAATATCCTAAATATCCAGTAAAATAAATGTTCAACTTTGCCTACACTCGGAGGAGTCCCAGATTAAATCATAATTCGCAGAACTTATTAAAAAGGTTGTTCTACATTTTGCCCGAAAGTAAATTGGCAATTTTCTGCCTGGTAAAAATGGAGCGAGTGTTCTACAGGGAAATTTTCAGATGTTAATAACGTTTTTATAATTAACGTGGCTGACATAGTGTTCGGAAGGTTACCGCCGCAGAATATTATAGATAAACCTGGCCCTTATCGCGAACATTCAATTATCGTAGACTCTTCGCCACCTGTCTTATCTACACGGCAGTGGTGTTCACAGGAAATAAGTTCAAATATCACCGTAGACCAGTTTGCCGAGCCATTTACAAGCGTTTCTCGTTACGGGATCGTTTTAACACACCGCTAAATCTCGCTATATACCTTGAAATTTTCAATTATACTGTGGATACGTTCCTCCCCTCGGTTAATTAGCATAAAACGCGAATACGAATGGAAATACGGTGAAATTAAAAAAATTCCCCTGCCACGATCAAACTCGTCTTTCGTTGAAGAGATTCGTCCCAGACGATTAAGCTACTGCGAGAGTTTCTAATGTGTTATCCAGAAACTGGATTTAAGTAGCATAAAAATTCAATTTGTGGATTCACGATTAATACCTTCGTTGCTTTGTCTCCGTCGTGAGCAGGCTGCTAATAATTTAATAATAATAATAATACTGCTAATAATTAAGCTAACCCATGAATATTCGATGAGATAAAAAACAATATTGGGATGAAACGATTAAACGATAGTAATATTAAAATGTTAATCAAAATCTCTTGACTAATATTAAATTAGCGAAGCAAAGTGGCAATTACGTTTCCCACGTAAATATCAATTTTCGTTCAGCTTTAGAACCTGGTTTCCAGTGCGAGGAATAGAAAATTGAATAATTTCGGAATATTGATATTAGGATTAATCAATGGAAATTCATTGTTATTCGTGTTTCACAGGTATATCGATTCTTAATTGAAGCTTCACCCGCTGGGTCGAGCGGACGACAGCTAGGAAACGGAATGATTTTGGAATATTACAATCGGCATTAATGAAATTCCATTCATTGTTTCATAGGTTCATGAAATTACCATTTATTTTCGGTTTGTCAAGTGTCAAGGGTTTCGAGCGGTTCCCGTTCCGCGGGTCGGGTGGGATCCTCTGATTAATTGCTTCCGCGCGAAAGCATCTCTCTGCGCAGGCACGGCCGACGTTATCCCCGAAAATGATATTAATATAGCGATATCATTAATATCGAAGATCCCACGAATTCTCTGTTCCCGCCCGAAAATTCATTAGCGAGCTTTGATTCCGGCAAACCCCTCTTTCAGGCAAATAAAGAGACACGATCGAGAATGAAAGTAGTCACCGATCGTTTCATCAATTCGCGGGCATTAGCGTCGAGGGGGATGAAATAATTCACGACGGAGGGAACGTTCTTCCTCGTTGATCAATAAAACGTGAATTTACGTCACAGATGTGGGACTCTTCTGGCTTCAACCTCGTGCTGAATTCAATCCGAACAGGAAACTTCCTATGAACTGTTTCACCTCTTTCGGCCGTTCGTAGATAAATATTAAATAGTTAAAATAAAACACTACGAACAGAGATAGAAAATAATGAAACAGTATATTCTCTTGTTTAATACATAATATTCTATCAATAATAACTTTGACTGCCAAGTAAATAACCATCGAAACTCCTATGGAATCGAAACAGTTCTCTCAATAAAGCGAAAACTATAGGGGCAAGATTCTTCGTAACGATTACAATTCTTCTTATATCTCACACATTCAACGAAACTTTCGATGCGTCACCAAGAAAATGAGTAATCAAGATTACGTTAAAAATGGTGACGTGGCAGTCAAAGTGTTAAAGAACAGAATTAATTCATTGAACAGTATTGAACAGTAAGAGAATTAGGTAAAATGAATCATTCGAACATTAATCAGAGAATTATATCTATAGAATAAACTTATTTCTTTTAACTAAATTATAAATAAATGATGAAGTTTGTCTATATTCAATGTCATGTTGTATATTCGAAGGGAAACGATAGAACAGTTCCAAACGAGAACGTTAATTTTTCATCTTTTATTCTAATATTTTGTTCGATGATTCTTTACGATAGCGCACTTTTGAGCGAACGTAACGAGTGACCGATGACTGGGAACACGGCTATGTCTGAGAAAGTTTGATAAACATATTCCTCGTTCCCCGAGGATTTGCCAGCTGGTAAAACATAAAGCGTGATGGATAAAATGGCGTGCAGTGTCCCGTAGAGAAGCCAGAGCCTGGCTGGTACCGTGGCTGAAGATAACGCAGACTCGTTTCTCGCTACATAAACTCATCTTCCAACTGACTCCGTTTGTGGGCCGACCCGCTGGTGTACCGTCATCGAACCAAAATCGTCCTCCTACAAATACCTGCCTCGCTCGAGCGCATTTCTTCGCCGGTGATCGCGAAATGAAACGAGCCGGTATCAGAAATCGTTAGCCTGTGGCGAATCTCAGTTTCTCGGCCGATCGTAGAAGCTCTTTTGAAAGACTGGTGCTCCGATAACGAATGGAGCATTAATATGTTTCATTGTTTAAATGTGTTACGATGGAACGGAAAGTTGAACGATTGATTTATGATTTTAGGATGAATTTTGGATATATCAATGATATATTTAGGATTGATATATAGTGTATTTGTTTTAGTTTAGAAAATTGCTAGATTTCTGTTTGTTATATTTATTAGGAAATTTGAACGAAAGTTGAACGATTGATTTATGATTTTAGGATGAATTTTGGATATATCAATGATATATTTAGGATTGATATATAGTGTGTTTGTTTTAGTTTAGAAAATTGTTAGATTTCTGTTTGTTATATTTATTAGGAAATTTCAGTTTCTTTTTTATAGGGTGTTGTCAAACTTTTCTACAGTTTTTAATATTAGAACTACCGAGTTAAGCTGATTGTTTGAAGTTCTTATATAGGAATTCTAAGAGTATATATATTGAAGCTCTAACTGATTTACAATTTAGTTTTCGTATTGCTGAATCAATTTTTTAACCATCTCTCAGAGGAATTTCTGTTAACTTTTTAATAATTGTAAGAAGACATCAGGAATATGTCATATCTTCGCGTTAACACAGATCGAGGTCAAATAATTCTAATTACATCTGGTTATAGAATCTCCCATTAACAATGTCATCCACTGCTAAATACTGCAATAAATAAACGAATGGCATTCGGAAATTCATGATCAAGGTACAATCTTCTTCAACATTCATTCTCATCGAAAACTGATCTTCGAGCATTGTAATTCAGCTTGCATAATGACGAATAACAATGAAAATCTGTTAAACTCTGCCAACTAAACAATGCCAACATTGACCCAATGAAACTTCAAGCTTCTCCACCTTTGTTTACAATTTATTGAAACGTCTCGGCGTAAGTTTCCTGTAACGGTCCTTATCATTGTTACTCTTTGTGTACCTTCGCGTTAACATTCGAACGTACGCGAAACTAATCGCGAGCGGGTCGCGGGCAGGATGTCCCAGTGTCGGGACGTTTGCATTTTTACCGACAGACGCGTCCCGAGGTCGCTGCGAAATTGCGAATCTCTTTGTGAAGAGACGGAACGACGTTATCGTTAATTGAAACGGACCGGCTGCGTCCAAACCGCGCGAAATTGCAGGCTCGCTACGGAGACCTCGATAAAAGCGAAATAGAGGAGCCACGGCACCATCGTTCTCCCCGGCGATCGCGTAACGATAGTTTTTAGAAACTAATGCCGCGTGTTCACGTGAGGAGATACTATCGACGCCTCTATTCTCTTGATAATGGACTGCTAGAGGGTTTCGTTCGGAGAACAGTGTAATTTTCTGATAGACGGAGTACTCATCCGTGGCGATAAAATATACAACAACTTCGATGTTCCATTACTTTGCTGTGACACTGGAATATATAATATTATAATTATCTGAGATTTGTGTTACGAATTTTTCTAGAGAGAAATATGTAATTGATTTCTG